AAAATGAATTCCCGGGAAAGATAAGACATAGGAATCTTGAAATATAAGGCTTTGGACATAAAGTCAATCAAATTATAACTACCAGACACTGAAGGCATTGGAGATACAATAAGCTCAACACCCCAAACCCATGCATGTCCTGTAGGGTTCCTGTTCATGGGTAATGAATACAAAGACTCAATAACTAGAAACTCTTTGAGACTGAGTTTCTCTGTGTAACAATTCTAGCTGTCCTACAACTCACTGTAAAGCAGGCTGGCCTCAAACTCGGAGAGATCCACTTGCCTTTGTCTCCCAAATGCTGGGATTAAAGGCGAGAGCTACCACCACCTGACTTGAAAACTTAATTTTTAAAAATTTGAAGTCTTTATCTTAAGTGTGTTCATGTTTTGTCTGCATGTATGTATGTGCACCACATCCTTTCCTGGTGCCCAAGGGAGCATCTAGTCCCCTAAACTGGAGTTACAGATGATTGTGAGCCACTAAGTGCATACTGCAAATCAAACTTGGGGTCCTATGGAAGAGCAACAAGTGCTCTTAACCGCTGGTCCATCTCTGCAGCCCCACGTTTTATTTTTAAAGATTTAATTTTTATTTTGTGTTTTCATGTATGTATACCATATACATGGCTGGTTCTGGAAGAAGCCAGAAGACAGACAGTATTGGATTCCCTGGAACTGGAGTTAAAAGCCTGTGCAAGCCACCATGTGGGTGCTGGGAACCAAGTGTGGCCCTTTGCAGGAACAGCCAGTGCTCTTAATGGATGAGCTGTCTTCCAGCTTCTATCTTTGTCTTTATTTATTTTTTTAAATATAATAAACCCAGGCTCATTTGGGATTTGATAACAGGTCTAAGTTGCCCAGGCTGGGCTTGAATTCATAATCCTCCAGTCTCAGCCTCCCAATTAGCTGGTATTACAGCACATAGCACTAGGACTGGATCAGTATCCTTTTTGTAATTTTGTTTGGCAGCTCTCACGATGTGCTCTATGGTCAAGCAATTTCCTAGCATGCAGAAAAACCAGGTGTGTCCCCAGCACCACCTGCATAAATAATTTTGACTTTGGATAAAAACATCCTTTTTGAGAAAATAAAACATTTAGTTGTAAAATACCACAACATATCCCATCTCCTCTAAGCCTTGCTCCTGGAGGTCCCGGTTTCTCTACCCCCACTGCCTTCATCACTGTCCACAGAGGAGACCAACAGCTACCTGAGGTAGCCTATGATGGTTCCACAGTGACCCTGACTTCCTAACGTCTGGAAGTGAAGCTTTGACCATGGCCCCAGGTCCCTGTGCTGTCACATGGATCTAATCAATTTTGCCCAACAGCTATTTGAGCTATTTGAGTCATCTGGTTTTGATTCAGCCTAATGCCACTTCCTCCTACAATTTTTTCAGGCAAGAATGGGACAAGAAAGACAAAGTCTTCCTCCAGAGCAAGAGTCATGGGAGTGGGAGACAGGTTCTCCCTGATGGCTTCCAAGAAGGGTGCTTCCAGTGCTCTCAGCTCTAGCTCTCTTTGCTTGAGCACAGCAGGGGGTCCTCTCTCACCACACCTGAGGCCAGTGAGGAAACTTTCACACCACACCTCCCCTCCCCTTACCATGCCCCCTTGTATTTCCCGGCTGTCTCTTCCATATGAGCCAGGTGGTTTCAGGGCTCTTAGAAGGACGTATACCAAGCCCTGCTTTCTCAAGAAGTGAAGTCACACAAGTTCAAGTAACAGTTTGATTCCCTCATTAACAATTCACAACATGCCTTCTAATCCTTCAGGCTTATCTCCAAGGCTGTGTCATCTGTTGCTCCTCCTAGACAACCCTGAACCACACCTTCCTTCCTTCCTTTGTGGCTGCTACTACTGGTTCCTTCCTCCCCTGACGGTCAGTAGCCCGGGTCAGTAGCCCGGCAAGCCCAGTACCTTACATTTAGCTGCTTGGCAAGAGCTCTGTCACTGACCCACACTCCCACCTATCAGGTAGATAGGAAGGCCAGCCCACTCACAAGACTCAAGGGCAAGGCAGTGTCCTTGTTCTTCAGGCTCCACAGTTTTTCTTGTGAATGAAGCAGGAGCCATGGGAGACTGGAGGTTTCTTACTTTACAACGTAGTCTATAATGGTCTCCAAGACTCAGCCCTCTCACACATAGGTGGAGGCCATCTTGCCCAGCTTCACTTAATCCCGCTGCTTCTGCTTCCCAAGTGCTGGGATCAAAGGCAAGCACCACCATGCCTGGCTTCCGGCTTTTTTTTTTTTTAAATTTCCGATTTCTATTTTTATTTTTCTGACTCTTCTACCAGGATGTAAATTCCATGAGAGCAAAGATGGCATACTTCCTGCTGTACTCTCAGCATTCAGTATGTCATGAGTGTCTGGGAAACTCTTGTAAAAAGTCAGGCATGGGGTTCACTCCTGCATACTTTCCCTGAAGAGGTGGGCTGAAGCAAGAAGATTGCTTCGAGTTTGATGCCAGAGTGACTGTCTCAAAACACCCCCCAAAATAGTGTTTGAGTATTTTTTAAATAGGTGTAGTGACAATGGGCTGAAGCGTGTTCATGTCCTTAGAGTTGTCTGACATGAACAAGAGCTAGAAATAGAAATGTACTGAAATCAGGGCCAAACTTAGGGGCAGGTTTTCAGGCATCTAAGTTTGTTGGGCTTTTGCCACCAGCAACATAGAACCCAGGACAGAACCACCTGGCCCTAGGACACCAGGTGACTCAATTAGGCCTGCACTGTGCTCAGCCAGCAGCTGCAGGGACTGACTCATCCTGGAGAGTGCACTCAGAGGGTACCTCGACCCCACTGTCCTGCAGCCAAGGAAGGAATCTGCTCAACTCTGCTCAAGCTTACATGGCTCCCAGTTCACAAGAGAAATTGTGGAGCCTGAAGGAAAAGGACAGCTACCTTGTCCTTGGGTCTAGTGTGTGGGGTGATGTATGATCCAGTTGGCTTGCCTTTTTATCTACAGGATAGGTGGGTCATCTACATGGCTCAGAGAAAGTTGGTGCTTGCTCGGCCAGCAAGTAGCTGACCTGCCTTTGTGTTCTGAACTATAAAAGTGAGCAAGCAGGCCAACAGGAGGGAGGCCAAGCCAGTGAGACTCCCCTCCTTTGAAGAGCATCCAAGACCAGGGCTGGCCATCCTGGGAGGAGCAGCATTTTTCTCTACAGTGGAGAAGATGACAACTGCCCTTGTTTCTCAAAGCTCATGCAGAACAAGAGACCTTTTCTTTCATCCTGCCCCCCCCCCCCCCACTTCTCAGAAGCGCTTCTGCTAGAAGCCAGAAAGCTGGGCTCATGTTCCAGGGAGTCTTCCTAACTAAATATTGACCCCACCAAAACCCCCTTCCTTAGCCTTTGCCCTGCCTGCAGAGTTTGCATCTACCGGGTTCACAAGGCAAAGGCCCTCAGCTTTCCTCTGGCGATCACCCAGCAGCAGTCAGGCTGGCTTTGCCTCTGTCCACGGTTCTTAATCCACCAGGGAAAGAAAATGACTCATTAACATCTCCCAGGCATTTTCAGGGCACCTTGGCGTCTGATCCCTATTCTTTCCCCATTAGGGTGGCCTGTCGGGAATAATCTCCAGTGTAAGTCAGAGGTGAAGTAACTTGCCCAAGGTCACACAGTTGGAACGTGGCAAAAAGACTCGTCTTCTGCCTGACAGTTTGGCAGATGCTCAAATCTTTGTGGAAAGAGTGGGATATGTTTCTACATCTCTCTGGCCTCTGGGAGCATCTGTAATGAGGGTGGGAGGGCTGTCCGTCTTCCCAAATGAACATTTCATCTCTAGTTCACTCTCACTTTCAAAGTTAGATTTAACTCTAATGTCTGCGTGTTCAAGTGGATAGATCAGATCGATGCCCCCCTCCTCCGAGAGCAAAGAGTAGATAGTCTGGTCATCTTTCTTCTCCAAAGACCAATTAAGAAATAAAAATATTTCCCCCCAAATAAACAGCTCTACTTCTTCGCAAAATGTGCAGCCCCAAGTGCAGCCCGAGGCGCCCCAGCACACACAGTCCGCAGACACTGCGCCGGTCGGCGGCGGGGAGGGGAGGCCGCGCGGCGGGGAGCGGGTGGGCGCCAGGCGCGCTGCCAGCCTCCGCCCGGCCGCACCGCGGGGGCCACCGCCCCTCGCCACGTGGTGGTGACAAGCCGCGGGGTCCCGGGCGCCGGCCCAGCTGGAGAGACCCGGAGCAGCCGGGGAGGAGGAGGCGGAGGAGACGGCGGCGGCGGCGGAGGAGGAGCGGGGCGGGCGAGCGGGAGGGAGGGAGGGGGCCGGGAGGGGAGGGGAGGGGGTGGGGAGAGACCCGGCGGCGGCGGCAGGGCGCGGAGCGGCGCGCGGTGCCAGGGGGTGGGGGCGCCGGGGCCGGCCAGGGGAGGGAGCCGGCGGAGGGGTGCGCTGCGACTGCGAGCCGGAGCCCGCGGCGGCCGTGAGTGCGGGCCGGGCGGGGAGGGGGGAGGCGCGGCGGGCGCGGGGCGACCGGGGGCGCGGGAGGCCGGGGCGCGGGGCGCGGGGCGCGCTTGGCCCAGGAGCGGAGTGGGGAGGGGACCTGCGCCGCTGCCCGCTGCCCGCAGCCCGCGGCCGGCCCCAGAGCCGCCGCTCGGCCGCCCGCCCCGGGCCCGGCCGCGGTGGGGGAGGGGGCTGCGCGCTCTCGGCCCCCGAGGGGGGAGGCGGCCGTGCGTGCGCGCCGACCCCAGGCGCTTAAAGCGCGGCTCTTTCAGCGGCCGCGGGAGGGGCCTGGGCGCTCCCCGCGCCCCCTCCCCGGTCGCCTGCGCGGGCGCTCCGCGCGCGGCCCCGGGAGGCGGAGGAAGGCGGCTTGGGTCCCCCGGCAGGGGTGTGTGGGGACCGGGGTCGTGGGCAGGGGGCCGAGGGGGGGTGTGACGAGCGCCGGCCAGCGGGGGACCGGGAGGGTGGCGTGGGCAAGAGAGGGTTAAAGGTGGGGCCGGCCCCACAAACACGCGCACACGCTCCTTACTCAGACCCGGCACTCGCGTCCCTCCGGCTCTTAGCCGAGGCTGGGGGAGGGGGCTGGGGCCTGCGCGGTCGGAACTCGCGCCTTCGGGCCGAGCCCCCCGGCCGAGGCGCACACACGCTCCGGCGCGGGCACACACCTCGGACATTCCCATAGTGCCTCACGTGACACTCGGCCCGAACGTGCCCACCCTGCCCACACGCTCACGCACGCGTGCTCACACGCGCGCGCACAACCTCTGGCCGCTTCCGAACTCCGCGCTGACCCCCCGCCCTCCGGCCCGCAAATGCGCTCATTGACGGCGGCACACCTACACTCATTCACAGACACGCTCCCCCCACATGCCAGCCACAGCCACACATTCATCCACAGGGCCGGGAGAAGTACACACGCACCCCCTCGCTGCCTACTCGTTTGGGAGCCCTGAGTCATCCCTGCCCCCTCTCGGGGCTCCCCACTTCCCTAAGTGCAGGCACAGAGGGACAGGCTGGAGCCTCCTTTGGTGGCCCCCGTCCCCCTAGGCCCCCTTGCCCAGTGTGCTGCCTCTGACACTCAGCTAAGGACTTCCTGTGGGTCCCAGGTCAGGGGCCACCTGCGCCCGGACGGTTGCCACAGCCCCGGCGTAGCTAGGGAGGCGCTTCCTTTTCCTGAACTCTGGGATCCTGCGGGAGGAAGTTGGGCGGGGGCCGCAGAGGCCGGGCTGACTGGTGGGACTGGCCTTCCTTAGGAGCAGGCGACAGAGGCCTGGGATGGCCGCTGTCCAGGTATTTGGGAAACCGGAGGTCTGGGGAGGAGACCAAGCTAAGCAGTCCAGGCAGGTTCTGGGCTGCGCCAATGCTGTGGCCTCCCGTCCACAGGTCTCTCTGGGTTCTGGAAGGAGCCCTTCCCTGCCACTGTGGCTTCCTTGGCCCCGCTTATCAGTTGTCCCCCGACTCAACTCGAGGTACATCTGTGTCCATTTCCTTCCCCTACGAGCGGTGACAGCAGAGGATAGATGTCACCTTCTGAGGGAGAGGGTGGTGTGGGGATCTGGTCTCCCAGCTGAAGCTCTACAGCTACCACAGGGTCCTCAGACCAGCATGGGGAGTTGGGGACAAGCACCAAGTGGCCCTCTTCATACTGTACCTTCTCTCTCAGGAGGCCCAGTGTGGGCTGAAGCTCTTACCATGGAGTCCATGTTTGAAGATGACATCAGCATCCTGACCCAAGAAGCTTTGGGGCCCAGTGAGGTGTGGCTGGATGGTCCTGGAGACTCCTCTCTTGGAGGAAACATGTGTTCTGCCTCCCATTTTGCTCTCATCACAGCCTATGGAGATATCAAGGAGCGGTTAGGGGGTCTGGAGAGAGAGAATGCCACCCTCCGCCGTCGCCTCAAAGTCTATGAGATCAAGGTCAGAACCTGGATGGGATGGGGAGCTGTGTAGAAAAGTTGCAAGGGTGGGAGGGTGCCCAAGAGATCCCAAGGACCCAGAGAAGTCGTTAGAAATGGAGGCTCATCCTTGAAGTGGCTGCTGCTCAGGGTGTGAGTGAGCAAGCGCCATTGCTCCTACAGTGGATGGGGGGCGGGGTGGAGGGGGGCTCAGCTTTGGAGTGGTAGGTCCTTTTGGAGAGGGCAGGGATAGAAGTCTCTGAAGCAGGTTGTCATTGCGTGGGGGCCAGGCTTCTCTGAGGACTGCCCTTCCACAGTACCCGCTGATCACTGACTTTGGAGAGGAGCATGGCTTCCCTTTGTATGAAATCAAGGATGGCTCCCTGCTGGAGGTAGAGAAGGTCAGTCTGCAGCAACGACTCAACCAGTTCCAACATGAGGTAAGCCCTCGGCCTTACTTCCCAGGCAGCCCAGCTCCTTATACTTCCTGCTTCCCTCTGTGTCTCTGATGTCAGTCACCTCGCCTCATCCCGGAGGTGCCACTGCCCTCCCTAAATCAGCTTCAGCTGTCCCTGTTCTATTGGAAATGGGGTTGGGGAGGTGGGTGGAGCCCCTCTGCTACCTGTCAAGGGTGGCTCTGACCCTGGCACACCTCTCCGGGCCTATCCAGTTGCAGAAGAGTAAGGAGCAGGAAGAGCAGCTCGGGGAGATGATCCAGGCTTACGAGAAACTCTGTGTGGAGAAAAACGACTTGGAGACAGAGCTGGGGGAGATGGTGAGGCCCGGAGAGTGGGGGGTGAGGTCTTTGTGTGGGCATTCCAACCTGTGATTGTGTGTGGCCCTGTGTGTCACACACACTGTGCTTGCGTGTATACCACCTGTGTATCTATCTGTGAATGCCTGCTTTGCTTTTTGAGTGACACAGTATCATCCAGGTCATGAGTGACTGTCCCCTTGGCTATACAGTGACCCTGTAGGACACTGTATCAAACCTGTACATGCAGTACTGTGCCTGGGAGAGGGTGTGAGCTGACAGGAGAGGTGCCCACAACTCTAGAGATAGATCTTGCCATGAGTTTGATGAGAGTTAGCAGTGGCCATTTGTGTGAGTGTGTGGGCAGGTGGCAGGATCATTGTTTCTTCAACTCCTCAGTGTGACCTTGATCAAATTATTTAGCTTCCATCACTCATCCGAAAAGCAGGGTAAATGGTAACCATCTCACTGAGCTGCTGTGAGGATGATGGGACATTTGTGTAAAACAGTTTTCCTTTTATAGTCAGAAACGCTTGTGAGGCTCTTGCTGCATGCCAGGCACTGTTCTTATCCCTCTACGCACACTTACTCATTTTAGCTCTCACAACAATCAAAAGAGGTAGGCGTGATACTGCTATCCCCATTTTATACATGAGGTAGACGAAGCCCAGAAGTGGTTAAGTCATTTATGCAAATGGAAGTTATGTTCCTGAGGGGGCGGGGTGGCTGGACCTAGAGCTGAATGTTTGTATAAATGTCCCTGTGTGGTAATGGCAGAGAAGAGGGTTGACTCTGACCTTGCCAGCCACAGTAGCCAGAAACATCTGCATTGCAGGTGCTAGGAGAGGAGGCCGCACACCTGTGGCTACTTGGAGTGTGTGTGTGGGACACTCTCCTCCAGTCTGGGGGACTCTTGGGTCTGGGAGTCCATGGGGCTCCCTGGCCCTGCATAGACCCGGAACCCTCTGTCTTTCCCTGCAGCGGGCCCTGGTGGAGACCCACTTGCGGCAGATCTGTGGTTTAGAGCAGCAGCTGCAGCAACAGCAAGGCCTCAGGGATACAGCCTTCCCCAGCCTGAGCCCCCCACCTGCCCCTGCCACAACCTGTCCTGACCTGGACCTGCACTATCTGGCTTTGAGAGGGGGACCTGCCTTGGGTCATGGTGAGACATCAGTGACCTCTGCCTTTCTGATCTCCAAATCTCCAATCCTAACTCCCATCTCAGTGTCATTGGGCACCCTTGGCTTGCCTAAGATCTTGGCACAATTTATTTATTTATTTGTTTGTTTGTTTGAGGTGGGGTCTTACTATACAGCCCTAGTTGGTCTGGAGTTTACTGTGTACACCAGGCTATCCTGGGACTTGGAATAATACTCCTCATTCTGCCTCCGTGGTGCTGGGATTATGATCATGTGATCCCATATATAGCTCTTTCCAATATCTTAAATTTGTTCAAAATTATTCCATACTCCTCTCCAACTGTTCTTTCACCTCAACCACCCTTTTACAAATTCTCCTACTGACATCCTTTTGCTATTCAGATCATACAATTTTTAGGTTATGCCAGCAGAGGGCATCCCCACGCAGAGTCCCCTTCGGCTGCAATTACAAGAAGTGTACCCCCCCCCCCCCAGGATGCTCCAGACTTCTGGTTGACCTTCCAGAGGCCATCTTACCTCCCCACCACCCCCTGGCCTCCAGGAGGATGGAATCTGCATCTAGCCTATCCTTACTTCCCTTGTAATCCTATCTCTCACCCTCGGGTGTTTGGCTTTCTGGCTACTTTCTGCACCTTGGGCTGAGTTCTTAACCTACCCCAGTGGATCTGGGAGTCAGTGGTGGCAGCTAGAGCCTATGTGACAGTGACATTGTCTTGTCTCCTGACAGCAGGTTGGCCTGGCCCTACCAGTGTAAGTGTGAGCGAGCTGGAGCGGAGGCAGCTGGAAGAAGCTCTGGAGGCTGCGCAGGGGGAGGCCCGGGGGGCTCAGCTGCGGGAAGAGCAACTCCAGGCTGAATGTGAGAGGCTGCAGGGAGAGCTGAAGCAGCTGCAGGAGACCCGAGCCCAGGTAAAGGTGACTTGGGAGCTGCCTTAGATGGGCAGGGAATAGAATAGCAGAGAAGAGGAGGAGAGAGAAGGCTGGGCTCTGACCTTTACATTTCTCCTCAGGATCTGGCCTCCAACCAGTCGGAATGTGACATGGCTTGGGTAAAGAGAGTTGGGGACGATCAGTAAGTCACATCTATAACCCTTGCCCTCTTAACCCCATATGCTAGGGACTACCTCAGGTCTCCAGAGTATGCTTTCCAGCTGTCCACATTATTTGAGTGACCTCTCTTCCTAGGTCAAGGGGTGTGGCATCGGGGTTGCCCAGGGAGAGGGCTCTGGAGTATTCAGGTTCTGGGACCAGGCTCATCTGTTCTCGAGGTTTGGGCGGGGATGCACTCAGTGGCTCTGTTGCTTTGTTCTGTGTTCCCTGTTGAGTTTTCTGTACCAGAAACAAAACTTAGAGGTTGAGTACATCCACTCTCACTTGTGAGGAAGGAGATAGCCTCCCTTGTTTTGGATTTGTCCTGCCTTGTCTGTTTATTTAGAGGGAGGAGTCCTTGAGGTGGGCAGAGGAGACAGGGTCTACAAAGTAGGGAAGAAGGTGTGCGTATCTGGGGGGAACCTGACAGTGGGGTCTTGGATGCACTGGGCAGCAAGGCTGAGCAGCAGCAGTGGCCTTGGCATCTTTCACAGCTATCCCAGACTTATCTTCACCCACTTCTAGAAAGAGTGCTTAACCCTCCTTTTTGCTTAGTTCCTCTCTCGTGAGATGAGGCTAATGGTACAGGCTTCACACATTCCTTACCAGCAAAGACTGAGACCCTAATGGGACAGGGACTAACCTTCCCTCACAGGGCATACCCAGTTCCCAGGGTCCCAGGGTCCTCCCTCCCAACAGGGTTCCTCGGCATCCTACCCAGCTTCCGGCCAGCTAGGAGTACCCCTTGCTTCCTTCCCCACCCTAGGGTGAGGGCTTGGGTGGAGCTGTGACAGCCGAGAGGGTGAGAACTGAGTTTGTGGGGCTGATGGGTGGGAGACCCCTCCCTCAGCTAGCCGTCTGTGGAGGATGGGAGGGAGCTTTGCAGAAGGGGTCCGCCCTGGTTTGTGGCTGGGCCTCTGGGACCACGGTAGCCCATATGTTCAAACCTGGAACTCACACATACCCGAATATAGTGGATCCTTACTCAGCCCCGAAGGTCCTCTTAGGGGGTCAGTGAATCCAATCCCTTCTTATTGCAGAAATTCCTGTGCGTAGGGGGGACTTCAGCAGGCTGGGTCATAGAACTCTTCCTGAGAAGGGGAAAGGCCTTGCGTTCTTGACTTAACCTTTGCCCCTCTGGACCCTGGGTTCCCCTCCTGGGCTCGAGAGTCAGCCATTGCTGCAGGGTGTGAGAAGAAGGTGAGGTCAAACATGGGAAGGGGTGGAGAGAGCAGTGGACCTTCCAGGGGCCAGGGCCCCAACTCAGAAGGTGTTTTGGAGGCTGTATCGTCCATATTGCTTATTCTGGCCAAACCAGCCACTTCCCTGCCAACCAGAGGGAGCGAGCTGAGGAAATTCTCCCAAAGTGCAGTGGGCTCCTTTGACTTGTTGGTGACCTCTATAAGCCTCCTGGATCCCTGTCAGCCAGGCAGGCCCTGCCTGCTCTTCCCTTTCCTTTAGTTGAAATGTTTCTCCACAGCCCCAGTGTGGCAGGATTAATTCTCAGAGGAGGTCCTCATCCCCATGGTAGTTTTATTTTCTTATAAACTCAGCCTTTTTGGTAACGGGCAATTCCCTGGGGCTTTCTCCCATCCCCCCACCTAAGGATGGCTCAGACACCTCTTCTCTGCCCCCCAGGATCAGCAACCCCCTCTTCTGTCTACTTGTGCTGATTCTGTATCAAGTGGGAATTTTACTGATGGCCTTTCCTGGGAATGAAATGCTGGCATTACATTATGTGGGGATAGAGGGCAGCTCTTGAGCCCAGCCTGCCTCTAGGAATTAATCTTCTCATCTTGAAAGGTGCCTTCAGCCTCACTTGTCCGCTGGGACAGCCAGATTGCTCTCAGGGATCCTCCACTAAAATATCTCCCTTACACCAATCTTGCCCTATGAACTCCACCCTGGTGCTGTCTGTGTCTAGGAGCGGGCCTTGGAGGCTGCAGTCCCTTGTTCTCAGCTCCTGGCCCACAAACTCTAACCACCTGTGATTCACAGCAAGCAGGACTGACACCAGACCAGACAGGTCAGGCTGCCATTCTTCAGCTCTGACCCACGGTGGACTCTGGGATAGCTTGTTTCCTGGTGGTCATAGCCCAGGAGGGGCTGAACTGCCCTAGAGAAAGAGCAATGACGAGGGAGGAGGTTGGAAGAGGCTGTGGAGTTCACAGAGCTTATGAGGGTGTTCAGGGAGGTTAGGACCTGGGAAAGTTCTAGCCACAGTGACATGTGCAGGAACCCCATAGTCCCCTCCCCTGGCCTGTGGATTCCTGGGTGGGACTGTTTGAAAGTATGGCCAGTGCCAGGGGACCAGAGAAATCTGAGTGTCACTACCTGAGGGCAAGAGGGCTCCAAGCAGATAGAGGCTCTGGAAGGCAGATTGGGTCTCATTGGTGAGGGGCGCAGTAAAAAGAGGGGAAACCGTAAGTTATAGGCCTTTCTTTTTTCCTAGTGTGGGGGGCTCAGGGTTGCAACCTGGGACCTTTTCCGCCCACCCCTCCCACCCCCTTTCTCCACCCACAAGCCTCTGCGTGGGCTGTGGTTAGTGGTGGGGAAGTGTGAACTCAGAAGAGAGAGGATGGAAACTCTGCACAGAGGTCAAGGGCAGTGTGGGGTGGGTCAGGACGGAAGTCGGAGACCCCCGTGTACCCTGAGCCTAGCCTCCTGCCCCCAGAACCAGCAGGCCAAGGGCCTCCTCCTTCGGGCTTCTCACCCTCCCTACTTCCTTTCCTTTAAGTCTCCTTCAACCTGATACCCAGAGCACAAAGAATTAACCCCTGAGTACTTGCAGCTGCAGGGCGCCCTGAGGGTGGGCACCGTTCTGCTGGTCGGAGGGGACTGTGGGTTTTGAAGGCATTTCCAGCCTTGTGCCTGCCAGCTGGGGCCAGAGCTGAGAGCTGCTCTTGTCATCATTCTCCCATAGACAGGCACATTGTCCCCTCTCTTATCACCAGGTGGTTTTTGTTGTTGTTTGTCTAAATTTTGGTTTGATTTTTGCTTTTTTAAGACAGAATATGTAGCCCAGGCTGTCTTGAACTTGCTATTTAGCCAAGAATGACTTTAAATTCCTGTTCTCCTACTTCTACCTCCCATGAGCAAACATTACAACATGTATTACCAGCTGGGTTCGTTTGCTTATTTTGTTTTGTTTTTCTTTTCAAGACAGGGTCACAGTATGTATCTCTGACTGTCCTGGAACTCACTATGTAGACCAGGCTGGGCTAGAGTTCACAGAGATCTGCCTGCCTCTGTCTGCATCCTGAGTGCTATATAGCCCTACCTGTCCTTTAACTCATGGTGGTCCTCCTGCCTCTCCTTCCCAAGTCCTAGGATTATAGACATGAGCTGCCACATCCAGCATACTAAATAAATCTTAAGCCAGAATCTTAAAACAAGACAAAACAAAAAGCCCAAGCCCCAAAGTGGGCTTCCTCATGTCCACATCGCTCTCCTAAACATGCGGCATTAGGAAGTTCAGGAACTAGAGAAGGGCAGTCCAGGCAGGTCTAGTGAGCAGGGTGCTGAGCCTCACTGTTTGCCTGCTCAGGTATTTGGTTCTGTAGGTAGGAAGCCCTTTTATAAGAGGGTGACCATGTGATTTGTTGACCAAATTGCATCACTTTTGAAAGTGAAAGGGGGGACTATTAATTATGCAACTAGTGTGAGCAGGTTCAGGCCTGGGCAAACCAGGACCCTTGCCTGGTTCCTGCCCAGCTGTGAGTTGCTCTGTCCATCTGTGTTTAGGGAAGCTTCTGGACACACAGCCATCTGATTCTGCCTAGTAGAGGCTGCCATGAAGAGCTCAGGTCTGGGAACCACATGACATAGCTGGTCGAGGAGCGTGAAGGGCTCAAGGCTCCGGAAAGGAAGTGGTGGAGCACAGGCTTGTTGCAAAGCAACTTCCTCCTCCACCAGCCCGCAACCTCAAGTCCGCTCCACGGCCTGGTGCCTGTGGTCCCCTCCCTGAGGGTCTGGCAGGCGGGAAGATGGTGCTGGGTGTGCCTGTGGGTGGGTGGAAAGTTTGGCCCCTAAATTCCCCTGCTGGGTGGGGTGGCTGGGGCAGCTCAGGACAGCCAGGGGTAAGGTTGGAAGGTCCGGGAGGGAGTGCTGGGTTTCTGAGTTTCTCCTGGGTCTACATCAGATGATGGTTCTGACCACAGGACAGATATAGTCCTATTCTCTCCCTAGCACTTACCCTGCACAGGGTCCTGATGTTACCCCTATCCCTAATCCTGATCCCCAACTGTGTCCATAATCCTGGCTGCAGAAGAACTACCAGCCCTGTATCTACCCTAGTTTTCATCCTAACTTGAAGCCACTCTCCAAGTCTGGCTGGCCTGACTCCCGACTTCTCCCTGCACTGATATGGAGTGGTTGGGAGCAGGGGCTGTCTTTGTGGCTCCCAAGCTCCTCTGAGGCAGAGAGAGGCTTTGGAGAAGGTGCTCTGGTCTTTGACCTTCCTGCATTGCAGTAGCTTTATTAGTGACAGTGAAGACAATTGCTTCCAGGAGGGACTTTGAGATCCCTGGATTTCCAGTGGGAAGGATGAATGAAAGGCTAAGTCAAGGAAGAGTAGAAGCCCTCTCGCCTGCCAGCTCTGCCGTTTGTACTCTGGCTTCTCTAAAGACAGACGCCAACCTAGTGGGCTGAGGTGCTGAGAGCAAGTGTTGAATCACTGCTCTGCACCCACCACTGCTGCACAACCTGGAACTAGCTCCTCACCACTCTGCTCCTCCACCCCGAGTGTCTGTCACCCTCCTCTCTCTTCCCAGGGCCCCAGTGATTCTCTGAACTCCTGGGCTGCCTCCAAGAGCCTCGGCCTCCTCCTCCTGTTCTCTTTTGCTTTCCCAACGCATTTTCTCCCACTCTCTTGAGGTGTGGGCTGTGTATGTGCAATGCTTAGTAGCCAGGGCTTTGGAATCTGGGAGGCAGGTTCTCTTCTCCAGCTTTAGGACATTCTGGGTGGCTTTACCTCTGTGAGGTCGATTGGCGTTGGGTAGTCGTGAAGACAGATGAGGTTCCGAGCACTGTGCCTGGGCCATGATCAGCATTCATACAGAACTGGGGCAGCATGTGCTGCTGCTCATATGATCTGTTCCTTAAGTCTTGATGGTGGAAAATCCTCTCAGGTGTGGCCAGGAAGTCAGGAAGCAGAGTGTGTATTTAGATGCATGCGTGAGGCTCTGGGTTGTGTTGTCAAGTTGACATTTTTTTTTTTTTCCACTGAATTGGCAGTGTTTTCAGTGAGTCATTCTGAAGCTGAGCATGTTCAACCATCAGTGTGTGAGGAGAGAGATGCCCAGAGGAAGGGCATGCCCCCCAGGACTATGAGGTGGCAGGAGGAGGTCAGAGCCCCTCACTCTGTCCAGGGTCTCAGACGTCTTTGTGAGGGTGGCCTGGTGCTCTTGTCTTGGAGGACTGTATCTGTTTGCTTCAGGGCCCCATATCAGCTTGGACAGGGGCTGAGCAAGCTAAGGCAGAGGCTTCTTCCATTTCTGGAAGAAGCGCCATCTTTTTCACTCCAAGGAGAGTGCCAGGCACTGGGCTGTGGAAACTAGGGTGGCTCCTGACTGTGAGAGAGCCAGCAGGGGAGAAAGGGACCTGGGGGACTGAATGTGACAGGTGAGATCTCCCAGGCAGAGTGTGAAAGAGACGACCTGTATCTGTCACCAGAGATACAGCAGGGAAGGTGGATGGGGAAGACAACTGTGCTCAGTGGACAAATGTGACACTCCATATCTGCACTGTCCAGGATTCCCTTTGGCTCCCACTGCTGAGCACACAGCATGACCTTGTCCCCCAGGGGCCCCCATCTCACTAGGGACACACAGCTCCTGCTCTCAGATTGCTTTCAGTCTAAAAGCAGAAGCTTCCCTGGAGGGCTTCCCTGTTTGCTGTGAGATGTGCCTGGACTCCCCAATCTCATAGGAAGACCCATTTCTTACCACAGACTTGTGGGATGAAGGTGGTGGAGCAGAGATTGCATTTCACAGACGTGAGGCCCGAGGTGTGGTGGGATGGTGGCCATGGAGCCCAAGTCAGGGTTCCCTGGACAACTCCTGTCTTGGGAGATGGGTGGTGTGGCCTGGTTTTCCCTAACAAGTGGGCTTAGCTCCCAGATGCTTTACTGTAACTGTATTAAAAGTGGTTTTACTCTGTGGCCCCGGCTGGTAAGAGTGGCAGCCCCTGAGCCAGAGTGGGGAGCACAGCCATTATCTGTTCTCTGAACCCCAGCCTGATGCCTCTGCTGTCCTGACTGGCATACTCCCTGCTTCACTCACACTCGCCTCACACATCCCCAGCCACCTTGCCCTTACTGGGCTGGGTGCACCCTCTCTTAGGAGCTCACACCCTGGGAGGAGATTGACCCTGAGCAGCACCTGTTACTTCCCTACGGCCCCAGCTGCTGAAATTTCAAGGTCCCTTCTGGAGTTGTAGAGGTGAGAGAGCTAAGGAAAGTCAAACCCCTGCCTTCAGAGCTCAGAGGCTCATCCAAGCCCAGGGTGCAGATGCAAGCAGGTCCCAAGGCCGAGGTAGAGCCCCTATGAGATCAGGACTGCTCCTGGGGTGGGGCAGCAGCTCACAGGGAGAAAGAGGGGCGGTTTGGGCTGGAAATTTTCCTGGTTGTGTTTGGGGTGACCCAGAGGAAGAAAAGGGTCCTTTGCTAAGTTCCATGAGAGTGGGTGTTGAAGAGGCCTAATTTGCATGGAAAAAAGAACTGGATGGGAGCCATTTTTGAACCTAGAAACAAGCCCTGAGCAAAGAGCTGTGACTAGAAATACAATGGTGTACTTCCCAATGCAAGTCCACAGCAAGGTGGCCTTTGAGAAATGCTCAGTCTGGGTGGCACACCCTGCAGGGGGACAGTCCCCATCTGCTGCTCAGATGGATATGAATGGGAAGAGCAGGCCAGATGTGTACAGTGAGACCCTGGGAGGTGTGAGGCTAGGAGCCCAGATGTGTACAGTGAGACCCTGGGAGGTGCGAGGCTAGGAGCCCAGATGTGTACAGTGAGACCCTGGGAGGTGCGAGGCTAGGAGCCCAGATGTGTACAGTGAGACCCTGGGAGGTGTGAGGCTAGGTGCACCAAGGAAGCTTTCAGGTAGCAACAAGAGCAGTGGGCCTGGAGAGGGGCCAACTTGGAGAGGAGCTAATCAGCTCTGCCTGCCAGGAGCGGGGTGTTTTCCTAAGGAATGGCTTCATCACAGCCTGTGCAGAAGTGATCCCCAGTGTTTTCAAGGTTGACGATGGTTTTTCCTCTGGGTCCCTCTCCCCTCCCCCCCAGAACACAGATCCTCTGTTTATGGTACTGGATATTGGGTATTACAGTTTTGGGATTGTGGCCAGTATTGAACCCAGGACCTCACACTTGCTAGGCAAGTTTTCTACCATAGAGTTACATTTTGCTTTTTGTTTTGAGACAGGGTGTCACCAGGCTAACCCTGAGACTGCTCTGTCCCAGGCAGTCCCAGCTTGCTTCCTGCACAGCAGGGATTGTAGCCTTGTCTCCAGGAGCCTGTGCCAATGCACTCTGAGAAAGTGCGCTGTAACTTCAGTGTGTGGCTTTCTTAGGAACCCGTTTTGTCATCGAAGTTTCTCCACCAATTAGGGAAACATTCACACCACCTGTGTGAGTGAGCAGCCCCCCAAATGGGATTCAGGGACCCCTTGGAATGTGTCTATTCCACATCCTCGCCCTAGGCGGGGAACCTCTGCTCCAGTGTGGAGAACGGTCTCAGTCTCTGGAAGCTGGGGGAGGCTCCCCAGAAGAGGTGGCAGTTGAGGTGGACCTTAAAAGCAGAGAGAGGGGATCCCTACAGCTGGGGTAGGTGTGAAAGATGCAAGGCAGAGCAGGTTCTTTTCTATGGCTGGGACAGAAGAACCACATCCCTTTGCTTCCCACCCCTTGCCCTCTGACCTCAGGGTGAACTTGGCACTGGCCTACACAGAACTGACAGAAGAGCTGGGCCGGCTACGGGAGTTGAGTTCCCTGCAGGGGAGGATCTTGAGGACTCTGCTGCAGGAGCAGGCCCGGAACGCAGGTGAGGCTGCCAGAGCCCGAGAGCAGAGGCGAGAGCAGAGGCGCTGAGCCCAGGAGCCACCTCCCACTCCCTGGGTGGGCATTGCCCCTGCAAGCCCCTGGCTGACACTCCTCCCCGCTTTCTCTTTCCCAGGCCAAAGGCACTCGCCGCTGTCACAACGCCACTCCCCGGCCCCCGCGTGCCCCTCACCCTCCCCACCTGCCCGACCGCAGCCCTGTGCCCCGTGCCAGTCCCCCGCCGCCCAGCGCCGCTCGCCCGTGCCCCCATGCCCTTCGCCCCAGCAGCGCCGCTCGCCCGCCTCGCCCTCCTGCCCGTCGCCTGTCCCACAGCGCCGCTCGCCGGTGCCTCCATCGTGCCAGTCACCCAGCCCGCAGCGCCGCTCACCGGTGCCACCCAGCTGCCCGGCCCCGCAGCCCCGGCCACCACCGCCGCCCGGGGAGAGGACGCTGGCGGAGCGTGTCTACGCCAAGCCGCCCAGCCACCACGCTAAGGCCGGCTTTCAGGGCCGCCGCAGCTACTCGGAGCTAGCGGAGGGCGCGGCCTATGCTGGTGCCTCCCCCGCCTGGCTGCAGGCCGAGGCCGCCACGCTCCCCAAGCCCCGCACCTACGGCAGCGAGCTCTATGGCCCAGGCAGGCCGCTCAGCCCGCGCCGAGCCTTCGAGGGCATCCGCCTACGCTTTGAGAAGCAGCCATCGGAGGAAGAGGAGTGGGCCATGCCCGCCAGCCCTCCCAGTCCCGAAGCGGGCACCATCCGCTGCGCCTCATTCTGTGCAGGCTTCCCCATCCCGGAGTCACCTGCAGCCACCTCCTATGCCCACGCCGAGCACGCACAGTCCTGGCCATCCATCAATGTGAGTAGTGAACTGCTTCCCTTAGCCTGGGTACCTTGAGGTGATGAGGACAGAGCCTGCTCTCCCTCTGGAGTCCCACCCTGTCAATTATCTTCACACATGGTAGGCAGGGGCTACCCTGCAGCAAACACACCCTAGCTTAGTATAGACCTTCCTCTCCCTCTTCCCTCTGTTTCCAGTTGGTAGGAACAACCCCCCCCCATATTAAAAGTATGGTCCTCAAAGTGACAGCCCTAGCTTTGATTCCAGCCCCCTTAGTATCTAAAAGACCACGTTCAAATTCTATCACTTTCAGCAGCAGCAAAATGAAAACGGTGATACTATTACTGTAGTGAGGTTTTAGGAGGCAATCATTCTGAAGCAGTTCTTGGAATGTGTGGCTCAAGCACACTATTATGTGGGTGCTAAAGGATAGGGATCCTGAAAGGGGCAGAAGAACAAGGACCCACACAGGGTCAGGCCTGCCTCAGACCCTGGGCTCTTCTCTGTCTATCCTGCATGATAACCCACTTCAGGGTTCCATCATTTCACTGAAATAATGAGTTTCCTGGGAGGGCCAAAATATATTCCAGATCCAGACAGGAAATTATGTTAGGTTGTACATTGTTTGCCGTTGTCCAATGCATTAAGTTAGCTGTGCCTTGTTCGCTCTGGAGGCATGTCAAGTCTTGGTTTCCCTCATTACTGGAGTGCCCCAGCTAACTGAACAGTGAGTCTCACACACTTTCAAAGACATGTGCCTTAGGCAAAGCCCAGGGATTGGGCTGGTGGCTGTAATCTATGTTGAGGATGGTGCCAGGGAAAGGAGAGCCATAGCCCTCCCTCTCTATTGTGGGTCCTAGGAAAGAACAGACTCTAAGTGGCTTCATTCTCTTCCTGCAGCTACTGATGGAGACGGTGGGCTCTGACATCCGCAGTTGCCCCCTTTGCCAGCTGGGCTTCCCTGTTGGGTACCCAGATGATGCTCTCATCAAACACATTGACTCCCACCTGGAGAACAGCAAGATCTAGGGCGTCTCTCCCCCAACTGGCTGTTTCTCTGCTCTCTCATCACCCCCCCAGACACTCACTCACTTTGAATGCTGCATGAATCTCGTGGGGGGCCCCTGCCCCTTGCGGTCCCCAGATACCTCCACTAGCTACCGAGTCAATGTGTGTGCCGTCTTCCCTGGTCCAGGCACCACTCAGCTCTGGCTCTTTCTTGGAGGCTGACCAAGGCTCTCTCCATCTTCCTGGTTTCCTCTGGGGAGTGGAGATCTGGTCTGGGATGGGGAGGACATACCCTCCACCTCTCTCTCTGCCTTTCTGTTTTCCAACAAGGTTGAATCCAAGAGGAAGTCTAGTGTTTGGGGAGGGAGAGGAGGAGCGGCCAAGAGCTCTGGGAGCCCCTTCCTAACTGTCCATATTTCCTGGGCGATGTTCTTCCAGGGAAGACCTCTTGAGAGGGTCACAGAGCTTGCCCTGCACACTGATGCCAGCCCTCTGTCTCATGCCCGACCAGCCTGGGGATCATGGTATTGAGGAAGGAGCATCTTGTTTCTTGTTAGTCTCTGCAGGCCAGCTCTGATCTCCCCCTCTGCCCACTCTGGGGAGCAGGGAAGGTGACAGTGGGGTGGGAGGAGCCTGCAGGCCTTGGATGATCCACCCCAAAGGGGCTACCTTCTCCTGGGCCATCTCCCTCAGTCCAGGGGACTGTCTGCCAGCCCTCACAGGCCTGGACCCTTCCAGAGGCCCTGGCACTAAGGTGCAGATCATCAAGGCAGATGCCTCCATGTTCCCCACTGCAGCTCCTGACACCATATGCGCCCTGGAGCCCAGTTGTGACTCAGCCTGTATTTGCTGGGTGGGTGTCATCAGCCCCTCCCTCCCAGGCCAGAACCTGAGAATGGGCCCAGGGTGCTGTGGAGATCAACTTCAAAAGAGCTAATCCCCTTCCCAAACCCACCCACCCAACCCTATATTCCCTCTGTGAAATCTACCTCAGAGTCATCCCCTCAGAAAGACAGGGGAGTGGGAGGCTGGGGTCCCAGGCTGAGGTGGGAGCCTCCTGAGGGAGCCTGCTGCCCACTATGAATCCACCCCTCACTTGAGCCTCCCTGGGGCCTTGGCCAGCTGATGGCAGTGGAAAACCACTGTCCATCACATGTGCCATTCTGATCCAAATCTTCCAGGCCCTCTCCCCACACCCCTCCTTCCTCTGTGCAGGGGTGAGGGGTATGTCAGCAGGGAAGGGGCCAAGGACTCCAGAGATGCATTGTTGTACCCTGAGTGTTCCCCAGGGAGGGGACATGGGGAAGGGGGCTGTAGAGGGGAGAGAGGGCTCTTGTGCTCTCTGAACAAGTTGAAAGTCCAAATAAAACTTACCTGTTCCATCTGCGCTCAGCCCGTGCTTTTGGGGGGGGGGGGTGGGAGGGCTCTTGGCCCTCACTTGGGAGGCCTTGGAAACTGTCTTGGGAGCCACAGCCACTGCTGAGCTGGCGTTAGCAAGTGTGTGTGGCCCACATTCTGTGATTATGTTGGTCATTCTGGATGCAAGTCACACGTGGCTTATGTCTAAGTTGAAACAGGTTTGAAGCAGACACCGAGCCCTGTTAGGTACAGGTTGAATCTTTGCCCTCAGCGTGTCTGGTCAGCAGAAGTTCTGGAGCCCTGGGGGAGTTTTCATTAGGAGCCAGGCTGGGACATCACAGAGGATGAGAGCTCAAATATCCAAATCCCATGTCTTCATGGGTCTAAGACTAGGAAGGGGCCAGGCTTCAGGCTCAACTGCTACCTCAAACACTCCAAAGTTTGGGAAGTTAGAGCTGGGTCATGAACAGGCTGCAGCATGTGCCCCTCTGGAGAAAAAAGGAAAAACAAGTCTGAGTTAGTCATTCATTAACTGATTGTCATTCATTTCCACAAGACCATTTTTTTTTTTTTTTTTAAAGGGGACTTGGGGAAGACTCTTGTCCAGGATGCACAGAGGCCCTGTTACTAGAAAGAAAATGCAGGTGCAGGGTGTGGTGATACACACCTTTAGTCCCAACATTCAGGAGGCAGAGGCAGGCTGAGTTCGAGGCCAGCCTGGTCTGCAGAGTAAGTTCCAGGACAGCAGGACTACACAGAGAAACCCTGCCGGCGGGGGGGGGGGGGAGGAGGAACATAACAAACAAACAAAACAATGGAGAGAGAGAAAAGGAAGGGAGAAAGAGAGCCTTGGTTGATCAATGGTTGACGTTCAGTTCAGCTCTAGAACATGGCAACTGACCCTCCCCGTGCTGCAGCTAGGGCCAGCCTCCTCAACTCTTGTGTTGAAATAAGTAACCACTGTCTGCTGCCAAGACCTTCCTGAGTGCCAGGAAAGGTAGACCTCCCTGCATATGTGCCTCACAGCCCTGAGAGAAGATTCTAGAACATCTGGTATTTGAGTGCCCAGTGGCCTCTGTAGGTCTGGATGACTGGCTAGTATGACACAGACTAAGGGATGTTCTGGGAACACAAAAGGCAAGGGAAGCCTTGAGAAAAGATGTAAAGAAGGGCCTGAGAAAGAGCTGGCACATGGGCACAGGCAGACCCAGTAACCTAAATGAGGGAACCCAGGTGTCCTGTGTGGACTTTCCCCTGTCACCAGGGTGAAGAAAGCATGGGGACATAGGGAGCAGACTCTGGCAGCTTGTCTCCCTGATTTCTAGGGACTCGGGAAAGGCTCAGGTACAGGGCAGAATGTTGCTGGGGGCTGGAAGAGAAGGCAGTGGAGGGAGGCAGTGTGCCTCCATCTAGGTGCCCTACATGGTCACAGACGTCCATCTAACGCTTCTGAAATGAGAGGGCTGAGAATAGGAGAGCTAGGAAACCTGTGACCCTCCTCCCTCTCCAGCAGGATTGCAAGCGCACAGGACACTTACTATGTATTATTCCCTGAAGCCCAGAGGGCAGCAGGAGGGGGGGGCTGAGAATTGCAGGGTTCTGGGACCAAGGAGTTACCATTACAAGGCTCCTGGAAACAAGGTGGAAGATTGGAACAACTTTCACTTGAGTGAGGTATAGGGGAGACCCCTGAGAGGCTAGAAGAGATTCCTGTGGACCACTTGCAGTTCCCAGCACAGACAGACCCAAAGAACTGTGTAGGGCTGAGGGTGAGGGACTCAGCAGAGACCAAGTCAGCCAGGGCATATCTCCATCCAGCATCCTCTCCAGTTCTGTCCTACCCCCAGGATTTCACCATCTGGAGGTCCCAGATCATGCAGACCTTGCCTCTGTCCTGGGTGCTAGGGGTGGGGTGGGGTGACCTGTGGCCTCTGTTGAGAAGGAGCTGATTGACAGTCAAAGGAGGGGTGAGTGGTGAGTGAGCCACGTTAATGAGAAACACCTCACCCGGCTGATTAGGGCTGCCAAAGAAGACAGAGAGTGGGGTTTTCATTCTGTTATAAGGGAGGGGGCAGCGGGCCAGTCTCTCCTTCAACAAGAATATAAACAGAGCAACTTTGGGCACCACGGAAAGAACTGAGATCACGGAAGGTGATGAAGCATTAATGGCAAGGAGGGGTTCTCAATGGGAGAAGCAGAATGGGTGACTCCGAGGCCAAGGAGCAGGGAGATGGACCCACTGGCTCTCTCCTCCTGCCTTCCTCTACTTCCACTCCTGTGCCCTGGAGATTCCCCGTGGCCCGGAGGGCCTCCTCCCCACACTCCTGTCACCCACAGGTCCCCATGGGCTCCACTTCCATCCGCAGGGGGTTCTGAGCTGTGTTATCAAGTTGCTGGCCCTGCCTGGGACCAGGCTGGGAGGGAAGCTCTGGTTTGAGGTCCTGGTCCGTAGCACTCACCAGAATCTATGCAGTTGCCAGGCACAACCCTGTGTTCATGGTCTGAGGCCTGGCGGGACCCAGGGTGGGAGGGGCACTCAGAGTCCCACGCTCTGCCTGCCCTGTCCTCTGAGGGTGCAGCTTTGGCCACTCCCCCTGTCACTTTGGCCTAGGCCAGAGCTGCTAGGCGCTTTTCATTGATGTTCCGGGCCGCTGCTGTGTTAGTGTGGGCATAGGGGAAGGCAGGGAGGAGCTGGGGGACAGGATGGGTGTCACCAGCACCTCCAGCACCTCCTCATTTGCATTGCCACTGACACCCTTCTTGACCAAGAAAATGGAGCCAGAAATAACAGGGGGGGGAGTAGTTCCCTTGGGGGAATGACTTTGAGGGGTCTCTTTCCCTGCCTCCAACTCTCCCACGGTGCTAGGGACTGGAGCCTCACAGCTGGCCTGGGGAGAGGAAGTGCACCCACTGTTACTCAGCCACCCTCAGACTAAGCAGACACCCCTTCCCAGCCTCTCCACACACCCCAGCACTACTCCACATCCCTGCCCGTGAGACCCGTCTCTGAAACCCCTCTTGCTACTGTGAATTCCCCCCCCCCAGCTGGAACGCGTCCATATTCCCCAATCCGAACCTTTCCCAGGCCCTGAGCCTGACTCTCCCATTGTCCATGAGCAACGCAAGAGGACGTTCCACACAGGAGAGTCCAGCCAGTATCAGCAAAGGGTATGGTTAGAGTCTATGGCAGGAGATACAGCAGAGCCCAATACAGAGTCCCAGTTCCTAGAACTGTGCAGTCCGGGTGCAGAGGAGCCCTGGGGCTCCCAGTTCTGAGGGAGAACATCTTCATTCAAATAAGGTCTCCAGATGTGGAGCTTTGCCTTCCTTCATGAGGTCCTGTTGGCTTTGAACATGGTAGGAAGAACTCTACCGCTCAACTGCCATCCCAGCCAGCCATTTTTCTTTCCCTGACCTAAAGACTGTAACTTAAACCCTCAGCGACACCTTTGATGTTCAAATTGTGTGCATTAAATTTACTTCTTCCCCAAAGGGGCAGCTACAGCAGAGGGTGGGGCACAGGAGATAATGGCGATGGTAGGCCAAGGTCAGTAGGCTCTCTTCCTGGCTAGAGATCCTGGGACCCAGGAGGCTGAGAAGGCGAGGGTACAGGGAGAGCAGAAGGGCTGGGCAGGGAAACCAGGTCGCGAGAGACAGCAGGGGAGAGCTGTGAAGGCACTGTGGGAAGGAGTGAACAATGAACTGAGAACTCCCTTCACTCCCCCCCCCCAGAGATGCTATTTTGGGGGGAGAGAATGTATGCAGTGCAGGGGCAGGTGGGGGAGGCTGCCAGCTTCCCCAGGGTCAGCCAGCTGCTTGCTGCTTTTACTCTCCCAACCATCTTCCTTGGCCTTGGTGCCTTCTATTACCTCTTTCTCCCTTGTTCCTGAGTGCAATGTGGAGGAATGAGCCAGGAGGTCTGGAGCTGGCCTTTGACCCCCTCCCTTGAAGGTCGCTATGGCCTCTGATAGAGGGAAACATTTTCCTTGTCATTGCATCCTTAGTTGAAAAGGCAGAGGGTACTGTGGAATGGAGATAGAACATAGCTCACCATGCTGAACACTCTGGGCTCCCTGATGCCTTCCTTAGGCACCCTGGACCCCTATTTCCTCTTAGCAACAAACATAGGCCTTGGGTGTGTGTTGAGGGAGCCCCAACAATGTCTGGGGAAGCTAATCTTGCTCCTTGGCCTCCAGGGGGGCTAGATGGAGTGTGCCATCAAGCAGAGCCACTGCTTGGCATGAAGGGGAAATTCTTGCACCCCAGCTCAGCTCTCAAGAGTCCTGACTCATTCTGGGATGAAAGCTCTAATGCCCTGCAGGTTTCTGTGGTGGCTTGGGGCAAAAGGAGGAAAAGGCAAGTAGATAGTGTGGCTGGAGATGAGTGGAGATTTCTGTTTTCATTTTGGGAGCTTGGTCCTTTGTCTTCCCATAGGTATGGATTCCCTGAAGAAGAAGGCTGGCTGGGGTGGGAAGAAAGCCCATCTCCTAACTCAGCACCAGTTGTAGTAGAAGAAACTTCAGGAAGAACAAAGGTGTGCAGCATCCAGAAGGATGCTAGCCCTAACCCTGGATGGCTTCCTTCCTCCCTGTAAGGCTGGGGAGTTTGGCCTGGCACCTGAACAATGGAAGACAGAGAGAGTCGAGTTGGGCACAGTGAGCCATGATGGGCAGGCAGTCCGAAGGCTCTAGACAGGAGGGATGAAGGTGGGCCTAGGTATCAGAGCAGGGATATTCCCCAAGCCATACCACAAGAAGAGAGTTAAGTTAGAAGGCACAGGAGCAGAAGACATCCTGCCATCTCAGGTCCTCCCATGCTGGGTTCTTGTCTTCAGGCCTTTCCTCTTCCGGCTTCATACTAGGAGGGGTGGGGCAGAAAGCAGCAACCTGGGGTGAAGGAGACAGTGGCTCCTTGGAGTGCCTGGAGCAAGAGGTCTGCAGGATTGCTTGGCAGCCAAACTTCCCATGATGGAAGATGATGATGGAGCGAGCGGCCCAGGAGAGGAGCTGAAGGGCTCCTTTGC